TGTGTAACTTAAAATCCTGTCCATGACTTGAAGAATCATTTTGGATGACAGATCCAACAAAACGTTCATCATACATTTGGTCAGGGAGGCTTACTTGACTGGACCATAGTTTCAACTGAATGTCTTTTATGATGATATACAGCCAGTTTAAAACACATTAACATATTTAACTAAATCACTGATTCTAAAATACATTTTTCACACACCTTTGAAACTCTCATTATATCATATTGTTCAGCAGACTGTTTAGTACTGGTACTTTTGCAATAGTCACAAATTAGTTCAATCGTCATGAGCACGGACACATATACATAGACAATCCCTTCTGACACTAACTGATACTTTAACAATCATCCTTAGCCTTAATTGATGATTTAATAGCATTTGTATGTGTGAATGAAATATGGATGGATTAAAACTATCAAAATTAGGTCAGTGATAAATACATGTAAAGTGGGTTTAACAGTTATAATATATAGCTGTGTGATTATGTTACTCCGTGTTTTGTCAAAACTGTGTATGATAAGAGTGAGTGAGTGAGTGAGTGAGTGAGTGAGTGACTAAGCGACTGAGTATGGTTTTATGCCGCTTATAGCAATATCAAAGACGGGGACACCAGAAACGGGCTTCACACAATCAAGGCGGGTACAGCTTTTTGAGAAAGGGGGTTGCACACTATTGAGAAAAGGGAGGGTGCACACTTCATTTTCACCCGAGTTTCAATGGTCATTTAATAAACTTTCAGGGCAAGGGGTGGGTGGGTGGGGGGGGGGGGTGTTTTGCACACCCCTGCACCCCCCCTCTGGATCCGCCTATGACAATGTACCCATTTGGGCAATCAAACCCGGATCCTCGGTGTGACAAGAAAACGCTTTACCCACTAGGCTACCCCACCGTCCCCTTCATCAATAGATGAACGAAATACAAGTTGTATAAAGAACATGAATTCCTCAATAAACATTACAACCATATGATCGATCAGTGAAATGTGAGATTCAAGTGAATAACTGTAAACATGTAAAAGAAAACTATAGCTCTAAGTCTAACCTGACAATAAACGGAAGGTGTTGTGTAAAGATCACCATCAGATACATCCTGAAATTACGTGGGTTTCATTACTGGGGTCTAAAAGGATGATGTACAAGCATTTTGACTTATAAAACTTAAGGGACTAAGTAATAATATTTCACCTATACAATGAAAGCTTATACATTATGAGTCTTAACCAGGCAAGATTGACATTGTGAGCAAGGATCCATGTTGTCTTCATCGGGGTATGATGCTGTCCCCCAAGTCACTGAGGCTAGCCCCTCCATTCATTACAACCGGCATTTCCTTGCACCAAGCATATCACTACTTGGTAACTTACACTGGGTTTCAATACAAAAGGCATAATGCTATGTTGATGGTATATATTTAGAAATACCAATATGCATGTACAGAAATGGTGAATATGGCTTCCTTATACATTATTGTAATGATACCCATATACATTGGGTTTACTGTTTGATAATAGGTTCTAAACTGCCCCTTCGAGAAAGGAAAAAAACAAAAACAACAAATGCCACTCTTAACATGCCTAATTCATAAAAAGTCATTGTTGAAATTATTTTAAACTGAAAGTCAACTTCATCTTGTTAATTTTTCATCTAATCTTAATATCATATTAACAAATCAATAATTTGCCAATAAAACATGATCAGCTTGGAATGACCGAGTTGAATCACTTCCCAAATGTAAGTTTTTCAAAGTATATATCCATATCACAGATGCTGTACGTTCGACTTAAAGGTCACATGCAACGTAAAATACAACTTTGCAGATTCTGATACCTTTCGAAATTGACTTACAGAAACAATTGATAAAAAAATGCAAATTGAACAATGAAGTTGAAAAATAATGCGTTCAAACGATTCACTAAATTCACCCCAGCTGGGGTGAAAAGTGGTTTCAACAGCTGTGCTGCGCATGCGCAGTGAATAGGATATCAGAATTATAAGGTCGTGAGCAGGAGTAGTCTAATCTTGGTTGTGTACCCACACAAATAGTAAAATAAAAGAACCTTGTTAAGGATCTAGATCTACTCAGCTATGTCAACCAGTAAGGCGTTCGACATTTCAAGACCGAAAACCTTCGCTGACAGTGAGTACTTGGAGTAGGCTTTGATGTGAGCTATTTTTCTAATGTTTTGTTGATATTTCACAGTCACGAGCTTTTTATATGTTATGAATCGAGATTACCGATTTAACTGTTTATATAATTTCATTTGACTATTTCACCACACGTTCTTCTTACCAAGTCACTTTCTCAGTTCGATACTTAACATCAACGTTATTATTTAGCATTGTCAGAATTTCTAACTGTTATATACATATGTCTCTGTCACAGACAAAACTCAATGTCTGTTTTATTAACACCTATGTGTCTGCCTGTCTGTCTGCTAATGACAATATGCAATACACAACTTCGATCACTGACCACATGCAATTTGAACTTAACACCTATCACGCTATACACCATAAACAAAACGCATTGATTTATGGCTCGTGCACCCAAATTCTGTCTCTGTCACATTATGTAATTACACAGACAGGCAGGTGTGACACTTGTACACATGACATGTTATGGTGTCTGTTGATTGCAAAATGTTCTACACAAAAAATGAGCATGTTTTTACAAAACCCAACATCTCTATACACACACAAAGAGGGTATCGGCAAATGAACCAGCCAATGACAGTCTTTGTTACACTTAAGTGCACGCCCACCCACTCTGACTGGGTTCGGTATCCCGGTATCGTTTCGAGGGAAGTAAACCCAAGTACAAAATATTGCACTTTTGACTTGCGATTGTACGCTTATAATTTTGTTTATTTATTTTTTCATAATCAGCAATTTACATTATATGTCATGAATAAGTGATAGTTGTGTTTTATTTATCTTTGTGTTTTTTTGTTGCATGCGACCTTTAACATGAAGGTGGGACAACAGTAGCCATTCTTGTCAGAAGTGGTTCTCATTCTTACACGCCAATATGGAAGGAAAACGTCAACAGGAGCATGACTCCCCATTCAGCTTTCCTCAAAATGGCCATGAACATGCATGACAATTATTACGATTTTTGGGAATAACAAACAAAGTAATACATGACAACCACCGAGAACACAGAAACATGACAATACGTACTGGGCAACATTCAACATAAAGCCTCATTTAATGTCCTAGTCCAATACGATGGTTCTATCAACCAGCCACACCTATCAAAACCATGGCCTCCAAGCAGGCCCTGCTGTAGGAGCAACTACAAACTTGCTTTTATTCAACAGGGAAGTAAAATAATACTTTTCATCCTTGCCTGGGTCAGATTACCATATTTTGAGAATATCCAGGTCATGAAAACAATAATGGAAGTTTGTTCAAAGAGCATAAACAGCCCAGTTACCAGGTCATTATTTCATAGTATCAAAAATAATACCACTTCAGACTCAGTAATTCCAGACTTCAGTGTCATATCATATTTATCTCCGGTGGCAATATGATACGTGATAACGAAGCATGAAAGCTTGCCACATGAAGAGAGAACATCCCTGTTGTCAAATGTCATGAAAGGTAGCCAAAGCAAAATATATTTTGAATATTTGAGTCAAATGACAATACATGGGTTTCAGACCTTTTGTACATGTTGTTCATACAATAGGAAAATGATATTTTAAAATTTCCATGCATCACATTTCGTATCAACCTTGTTAATATCTGTAGCCTATGTACTGTTACATTGAACTGAGTATTACAACGAAAAGATCATTCTGGAAGGTGTTTGTACACTTATCGTATAAGTAAACAGAAATGTGGTTAAAGAATTCCATATTCTATTCAAAGTGAGATATTTTGTTATTAAAATCTAACACTGTTTAAAAAAACCATCAAAATTAGTAGTGTTGATAATACTGTCATCATCCATCAACAATTCACTCTTTTGTGACAAAACAAATCTGAAGAATAGTATCTTCTTATGTAATAAATGCACGCAAAATACAGCATACAAATCAAATCTTCTTCCTAATAATATACTGGAATGGAAATTTTATGAAAACTTCAGACTTGAGAAAATATAGCAAACGTGCATTATTGACGGAAAAGAAGTAAGCTGCTAGGCATTATGAGAAACAAACACACACCATGACAGACATTAAATCCTATATTGTCCCATCTGAGACACTAAATGTATACGCCATGTTAACATACAGTACTGATAATTTATATTCTGCAACTGATTAATCTTATGCAAATGCTGAACAATAATACTTATTTTTAACATATATGTTTGTTACCAAAATGTAAAATTCACATCTTTTATCTCTCAACAATCCAAATGTACACAATACTTGTGATGCTAGTTTGTTTGGTAGACATACACGTCATTTGCTGCTGGTTATTTCTTGCATATTTCTTGCATTTTTAACATACCAAATACACAAGAATACACAAGAAGACATTTATCTTATATATTAAAGGCTTTGACCACTATTATTATTCCAAAAGATCACAATTTTCACTCTATATTAGCATGACCACAATTTGACCTACTAATATTTAGGTTAGAAATTGACCATGCATGAACTCTTGTTCAGGAAGCTGAGTTTGTTTATATGCCACTGCTGCACACTGTTTTATAAGATTACTAAGGTAAGATCCCTGATCTGTCCGATTCTTCATGAGATCTGGTGTAAAATATAATCGTAGATGCAGTTTAGTCAACGCTTGCTTTCTCCTCATTAACATAAACACTGCTTCGAGCGACGACACGGGCTTTACCGTCATTGCCTCTGCAAACTCCCTTTCAGCGCCCACCTACTGCCTGCGATCTAGTAAATACCGTATCTGGGGCAAAAAATAAAAGAGGATATTGGCTGGAAAGGTGAGGGATGGTTACAATCTATATGGATGGCGGTGTGTGATTCTCAAGGCATTTGTATATGTTAATGATATAGGAATATTTACCATCGGAGGACGAGCCATTCAGTTCGACTAGGACGTGAACCTTCCCGGTGGGTTCCAAGTCAATCTGCAAACAAAATATATAAATAAGCCTAATTGGGATGGCAGGCGAAATAAAATTCGACCATAAATTTGTGAAATTTGTGGAAATGTATATGGTTATTGAAGCATTATTAATATTAATGATCGGGGTTGGTAGTACACGCGGGCGAGCAGCGGCTGATCTCCACGCTAGGCGGAGGTTGAGATCGGCACTGACGCCACCAGTAGTCGGCATCATCTCCAATACACCCATCGGATATTAAATGGCCACCCTAGGACTATAACCTACCCATATATCTGCCTTCTTGGGCTTGTCCACCAGATCCTCGAATAAAATGGTGCAATTCGCGACAAATTCGTCAGGCGGAATTGCCGCATCATGAAACACAGTTAGACCGATGTTTTGTCCATTGTGCACCTCGGCGACAAAATCCTCATTCCAAATTGGGCGACATGTCTTTGCTTTAGAAGTCGTTCTAGCCACAAACAACTCATCAACGTTTATAGACACATATGGATCTATGAGGGTCACTGCTTTGTTGGGGCCCATTTGATGGCGTAGGGCAAAGTCGGTGGGTCTGAGATCCGACGCCTCGCATACCTTTAACTTGACAGAGCCATTAAAAAACACCATTTTCGGCCTAAGCCGCCCATACATCCAATGAAAAAACACACGTTAAGAGCACGTCGTCGCTGTATCCAACTCTCCAAGCGACACAGAATTCCAATATGAAGCACAAATCCTCCCCAAATTGACGACACAGAGCTGTAGATTATTACGGAAGTTGTAATGTGAATTCACCTACAGGGCCCATTCCCTGTACTGAAAATGCAAGGCTCATACGCATGCGCAATAATTATTAGTCGGCGACCTTTGAACTCTGCGATCGGGAGTATGGAACTGCATAGCAGTACTTGATTGCAATATACTGAAATAATGTAGAAATGTATACTATTTTATAATAGCGTGGACACATGTTCAAATGTAGGCCTAGATACAGACGTCTAAACATGTACAAATACATGTGTTCTGACAGAGTTAGCCAAGGTACAATTAAGCGGCAATGTGACAAATTCCTGGCTTTATGTTTACCGTGTAGCCTTGTTGTTATTGACTTTACAATCTTCTGATTAAACAGACAATAAACTACAGCTGATCAATATTCCACCCGAGTCACGTAATTTATCACAGTAAAACTGCACAAGCAGTAAATATAATTTAACAACTTATTTGACCTTATTTTAAACAAACGTAAGTACTACAACATACCGGCAAATTTGGACGTATGTTGACACTTACGAACATCTTCTAATTCAGACTGACTGACATCCAGATAATCTCACCAAGTTATGTTTGTTGTATTATTTCGGTAGTCATTATCTGTATTAGGTCCTACTACGACATGATATATGGGGGCGGTGGGGTAGCCTAGTGGTTAAAGCGTCCACTCGTCACCCCGAAGACCCAGGTTCGATTCCCCACATGGGTACTATGTGTGAAGCCCATTTCGGGTGTCCCCGCCATGATATTGCTGGAATATTGCTAAAAGCGGTGCAAAACCATACTCACTCACTGTTTGTGATATAAACTTGAAATGCATAATTAAGCATTCTCGTATCATTGCAATGTAAATGTATAACCGATCTTTCACAAATATGCAAAATTAGGGTATAAGCGAATTTATTCCCACGTAAAATAACGTTTCATACTGTGTTATACTCAATATACACAAATAATAACTTTCAATTGTCAGTGACATCATCTTGACGCAATAAAACCTCATGACGTTTATAGGACGTCATCAACCATCTCCCTCCAAGCCATTTTATTAAACTCAATATTGAGTTTTAATAGTCAGTTCAACTCAATAAATGTTATAAAGGATTTTTATCAAAAAGTGATGTGTTATGCACCATCATATATTAAATAAGGACAATGGTATCACGAAAAGATTCCATTTTGAATAGTTTAATAGGAACTCAATGGTATGGAGATACATCATCTCGACTATAAGGTTAACAGTATAGACGCGCTACTCGAGGGCACATCGTGTTTACAAAACTCAGTCGCTCTTACTTGACACGATTAAGTTGATATCATTCACATGTTACATATATGAATTTATTTACCGAGTCACGAGACAACAAGCTTGTAAGAGGCGACTGATGGTTGAAGTGGTCGGGCCTGCGTGTCATCGTACCCCGGCGACTAGAAACATGCCTCGTAACTCCTGTCGCTGCTTATACTAGCCCACGCCTTGTGTTTTATAGTCACAGATCACTCGGCAGAAATGATGCTCCACTGTGCGTTAGAAATCCAACAAACACAAAAAGTGTGTCACATCAAATGGAAGGAAAGTTTATTTCCTCTTATAATATTATGATATATATATTAGGATGACATCGGGATCCACAAAATAATGACACAACACGAATTTCCCTCCTACGCGTTTCCACTTTATCTTAGGAGGTCATTAAGTTATTTATCTTCAGGGAGTGATGACAGTGAACTTCGCCTTTCTTTATATAGGTACCACAGTACACTACCAGACCGGACTTTCCCCCAAATTTCCTGGGGTGCATCCCTGTAGTTAACTGAGGCTCCCATGAGCAAGTTCTGAATCATACACTACTACACCAACTCCGCGTCTAGGCGAAACATTGCTTTGGTTTTTGTATGGCAGCTGCTCTTTCAGCCTGGTAGCCCTCCCACCCTTTATGTGGAGTGGATGACATTAAAACCGTCCACAGTGACGTCACTCAAACCAAGACGAGGGCACTGCTGACCCAGTTGTCTAAATCGCCGGACTTCGACTCTCATTCTGTGTTCGACACCCGGTTCCCCCGTTTATGCTTGTAGGTCTATCAGCACCACACCGGTGCTGGGGGGTTTCACTGAAGTGGTAATCGCCTTAGACCTGCATCGCCTCGGACGTCCCTCCAGCAGTGAAGCTGACACCCCGTGATATACCTGGAATACCGCTCACACCGTCGTTAAACCCTACTCACTCACTCACTCACTCACTGAGTTTCAAGTGCTCAAAGTTCTATTTTTCCCTCCGAAGAAAGTATGCGTTTAGACACCTACTTGCGGCGTGTCACAATCTGAATCTCTTTCATTGTCAAGTTGACAAGTTCGAGTTGATGGGGTGTTGTGGTGGATTTAGACACGTGATATTGTTTAAGTACCTTTTACGATAATCTACCCGGAGTTGGAAAAATACCAACATAGATTCTATTAATATATATTTTAGTGAACGTGTCAGTTATGTGAGATTTACCCTTCCCTCCTAAAAAGATATTGACTATAGGTTTACCTACTCACAAACCATATATTTAGGTGGCTGTTGACTTGTAGCCAATGAAGTTGTCGTGGTGTACGTAAGTAGTCACCCAACATTTCCTGTCTCTGTTTGCAGGATGAAATGTGTCCATGTCGAACTTTTCCAGTTATAGGTCGGTGGCCTCTCCGCCGGCACGCTTCGATAAACAAGAAACCTGCAGCCGCTGTCTATATGTGTGTACAGTACATACACGCCGTGGTGTGACATAATGGAGGGCGCGGTCGCGAGGTGGAATGCAGAACTGTGACTGTAAGCTACCTGCTAATCATAGTCACTCAGCTGCGATACATAAATATCACGTTTCATCTTATACCGTTGACAGATGGTTATGTCATTAGCTATGTATATGGGGATTTGGTGTAGTTGGACACTCCACATTGACACTTTATGCCTGGGTTATTGGGGTAACTTAAATATAGGATGAGGTACTTATGTCAACGTTACACAAATCAGGCAGCTCCAGTCAGTGACTGCAACGTGTTTGGGTGTTGGATCACTGGATCACTCCCTGTACATTCCAAACATCGCTTTTATCACAAACACAATTACAAATGATCTAATGATTGACTGGATTGGTGGTTTCAAGCCCATCTTTGTTTAACTGGATTACTAAGTCTGTAGGTATGTTATGGAACGTCATGGCAGTGATGATTGTAGACATTATCGCGATCATGACACTATGACAGTTATATAGCCTGTGATAATAACAATAATGATGACGGTAATAATCAACATAAATGCTGCCGTGACGTCACAGGTACATGTTAGATGATATATGTATGGAATAAAATATAACTAGATTGAATATTGGACATGAAACGCAACGTAAAGTTCGACTGGAGAATTCCGTGTGACAATGTATGAAACACACTATCTACCATCCTCGGGCTGCGGGCTGGTATAGCGGTCTATCGTACAGAATGAAACCTGTTCCTCACACCGCTTCCTGCTTCCTTGTACCTGTGATCCACTACCACTGTTGATGGGGAAAGTGGAGACGTGGGTAATTGTGGCGGAATATAGGCTTGGCTACAGGATGTTATCGTGTCCCAGGAAGCTGAGTGTCATGACTTTAATCACTGGATTGTCTGGTCCAGACAGTTAATTACAGACTGCCATCATATATATGATAGGATATATACTGTTCCAGTATACAATATGACATTATAGTGTTCCAATATACAATTACAAGGGGGATATTTCTGGGGGTGCTGGAGGGTGGATAGGTCAGGTTGGTTGGCTGGGATGAGGTGGGTATTAGTGGGGTGAAGGGTTCGGAGTGGGGGTCAGGGGCCGAGGTGGGTGTTATTGGAGTGGAGGGATCGGAGTGGTTATTGGTAAGATGGAGAGGTCGGGGTGGGTGTTAGTAGGATCACCTGTCTGGGTGTTGTTCGTAGGGTGGAGAGGTCGGGGTGGGTGTTAGTAGGATCACCTGTCTGGGTGTTGTTCGTAGGGTGGAGAGGTCGGGTAGGGTGTTAGTAGGGTGGTGAGGTCGGGGTCGGTGTTAGTAGGGTGGAGAGGTCGGGGTGGGTGTTAGTAGGATCACCTGTCTGGGTGTTGTTCGTAGGGTGGAGAGGTCGGGGTGGGTGTTAGTAGGGTGGAGAGGTCGGGGTGTTGTTCGTAGGGTGGGAGAGGTCGGGGTGGGTGTTAGTAGGGTGGAGAGGTCGGGGTGGGTGTTAGTAGGGTGGAGAGGTCGGGGTGGGTGTTAGTAGGGTGGAGAGGTCGGGGTGGGTGTTAGTAGGGTGGGAGGTCGGGGTGGGTGTTAGTAGGGTGGAGAGGTCGGGGTGGGCGTTAGTAGGGTGGAGAGGTCGGGGTGGGTGTTAGTAGGATCACCTGTCTGGGTGTTGTTCGTAGGGTGGAGAGGTCGGGTAGGGTGTTAGTAGGGTGGAGAGGTCGGGGTGGGTGTTAGTAGGGTGGAGAGGTCGGGGTGGGTGTTAGTAGGATCACTAGTCAGGATGGTTGTTGGTTGGTTGGATGGAGAGGTCGGGGTGGGTGTTAGTAGGGTGGAGAGGTCGGGGTGGGTGTTAGTAGGATCACCTGTCTGGATGTTGTTCGTAGGGTGGAGAGGTCGGGTAGGGTGTTAGTAGGGTGGAGAGGTCGGGGTGGGTGTTAGTAGGGTGGAGAGGTCGGAGTGGGTGTTAGTAGGATCACTAGTCGGGATGGTTGTTGGTTGGGTGGAGAGGTCGGGGTGGGTGTTAGTAGGGTGGAGAGGTCGGGGTGGGTATTAGTAGGATCACTATTCAGGGTGGTTGGCTTGTTTGATAAATCGGTGGGTTGCAGAGGGTGTTTGAAACAAAGCTGTTTTCTCTGAAAAAGAGATCCAAACAATTTTTGTTTACACAAAAATAACCCAAATACGACATCCACAAAGCCCATTGAACCATATCAGTAGTATAAGCTGCTCCCTCCCTCCCCCTGTCCCATTCCCCAGACCCCTATTACGCCCACTGAACATCAAACAGTCGTCCTTGAAGTACATTA